CCGCCGTGAGCGACCCCCAGGGCGGCAGCGGCAGTGCAGTGTCCGGGGGTGACCGGGAGGGGGGCGCGGGCCTCCCCGTTGGGGTTGAAGTCGCCCGGAGTCCCGAGCTCCGCTGTTTCAGTTGTGCAGCCTGGAAGGTCCGAGCCCGGGAGGAGGCGGGGCGCCCAGCCCCGCAGTCCCGCGGGCTCGGTGTCCCCCACCCACCCCCCAGGCCGGGGCGAGGCCGGCTGGGCTCCCTCGGGGAGGGGCGGTCGGCACCAGCCTCCTGGGGGGACCCTGTGGCCCTGCGCCCCGCGGGCAGGGCGAGACCCAGCACCCTGTCCCCCCCAGACCTCCAGGACCGGGTCCTCAGCGAGCCCCTCAAGCACGCGGACTTCTTCAACGTCAAGGAGCTGTTTTCCGTGAGGAGCCTCTTTGATGCCCGCGTGCACCTGGGACACAAAGCCGGCTGTCGGCACAGGTGGGCGCGAGCTGTGGGACCCTCTGCCCTGGTCCTGGGTGCAGGGGCACGTGTCAGCTTGAGGACAGCCCCTTCCTCTTCAGATGGGGTCCCTGCGCCCCAGGAGAGGCCGGGGGTGTCCTCGGACTCAGCTTGTATCCAAAGGGGGTGCCGCGGCCTGACTCCCCAGCAGCGGTGGATGTGAGCTGGGGGCCCTATACCGAGATGACCAGAACCAGGGAGGCCTGGGGACGTCCGGAGCTTGGGTACCGCGAAGGGTGACCCCTTGGCCACCCCGGGGCACTGTCACGTGGGTGCTGGGAGGGAGCATCCTGGGCCCTGAGAGGAGGGCCCCACGGGCAGGGAGGGCAGGAGGGCGGGCTGCACAGTGGAAGCTGCCTCGGGGGCGAGGGGGCGATGGGGCCTGTGGGCCTTGGGCAGAGTCTGTTGAGAGGAAGGGACAGAGCCAGGTGGGCGTGAGCGAAGTGGAGCTGAGGGGTGACATCTGTCCTGCCCACTGGCCCTCCGCCCTCGGGGCTCCCTCCCAGGCCTGGCTGCTCCTGTCCCGACCCCTCACGCTGCAGCCTGGGCCCCTCCCCGTTCTGCTGGCCCCTCGGCCCATCCCGGAAGGACCTCGGTCATAAAGCCTCAAGATCAATGACAGCCCGGCCGGCGGGCTCAGTGGTTGAGCGTTGACCTGTGAACCAGGAGGTCAGGGTTGGATTCCCGGTCAGGGCACAGGCCTAGGTTGCAGGCTTGATCCCCAGTGTGGGGTGTGCAGGAGGCAGCCTATCCATGACTCCTCATCGATGTTTCCATCTCTCTCCCTCTCCCTTCCTCTCTGAAATCAGTAAGATTTTTAAAAAGAACAATAATGACAGAAGGGGCTGCCACGTGAACAGCAGAGAGCAGGGCACGCTCTTGTGTTTAAACGTCCAGACGGCCAAGGAGGATGAGCTGTTAGGGTCCTCGGGGGACGGGGTGCAGGTTCCGCAGCCACGCCACCTGCCCAGCCAGCACACACGGGGAGGGTCCTCACTGTGTGGCGTCGCTGGGAGGGGGGCCCCCACAGGAGAGGGGGGCCCTGCTCACTCGCGGGGGGCGGGGGGTCTCCCGCAGGTTCATGGAGCCCTACATCTTCGGGAGCCGCCTGGACCAGGACATCATCGACCTGGAGCAGACGGCCGCGCACCTGCAGCTGGCCTTGAACTTCACGGCCCACGTGGCCTACCGCAAGGGCATCATCCTGTTCGTGAGCCGCCACCGGCAGTTCTCCTACCTCATCGAGAACACGGCGCGGGACTGTGGCGAGTACGCCCACACCCGCTACTTCAAGGGCGGCCTGCTGACCAACGCGCCGCTCCTGCTGGGCCCCGGCGTCCGCCTGCCCGACCTCATCATCTTCCTGCACACGCTCAACAACGTGTTCGAGCCCCACGTGGCCGTGCGGGACGCGGCCAAGATGAACATCCCCACCGTGGGCATCGTGGACACCAACTGCAACCCCTGCCTCGTCACCTACCCCGTGCCCGGCAACGACGACTCGCCTGCGGCCGTGCAGCTCTTCTGCAGGCTCTTCCGGACCGTCATCAGCCGGGCCAAGGAGAAGCGAAGGCAGGTCGAGGCCCTGTACCGGCTGCAGGGCCAGGAGGGGGCCGAGGGCCGGGGTCCCGCCCTCCCGGGAACACAGGCCTCGCTGGACGCGGGTCCTTCACTGTGACAGGTCCACCCTCCTCCTAAATAAAATCGGCAGCCGAGCCTGGTCCCGAGTTCGAGTCATCCCAGCCTGGCGGCCCGCTATGGTCGCCGTTTTGGCAGCGCAGGTGCAGAGGACGAGCAGGGACCCGCGGGAACATGCTTGTCCGGGAATCTGCTTCCGCCCTGAGATCCGCCCTCTGTGTGTGAGGTTCTCACTCCGGGCAGCTTGTTTCCTGGACGCGAGTGGCCCTTGGCTGTTTGTCACACGAGGTTGCAGGCGAGTCCCCCACTGGGTGGGCAGACGGCACGATCCCGATGTAACAAGCTCTGGTCTGGCAGCACGTGGCTGGGAGCCTTGTTCAGCAGCGTGGTCCGTGGACAGCCGTCTGTGTGGCACTTCCCTGCTGCCCCCCAGGCCTCAGGTCACCAAGGTCCCTGCCCTCGGGGTCCTTGGGCCTTGAGACAGGCAGGCACATGGACGTGTCGCTTGGGCCGGGCAACAGGGGCACCTGCCCTCGGGCCACCATCAGTGCTGGGCTCAGGCCCTCATGCTGCCCCCACAGGCCAGGCCCCTCCCCAGGGGTCGGGACGGGCCCCCCTGGCCGCACTTGTGTCCTGGGGCTGGGCGGGCCCTCTGTCCTGCCTGCCTCCTCAGGGTCAGCACCTACCCCAGGTGCGGCCCGTGTGCCGGGGAGCGAGCAGCAGGGTCTGGGACAGGGTAGCCCACAGTGGCTGCTCCGTGCCCACCTCTGCCAGCCCGGCCCACTCGGTGTCTTCCCAAACTGTAGCTGTGCACGTGTGTGTGAGGCTGAATTTCCTTCTTCCCTCCCTGACCTTATCTCCGAGCACAAACCCTAAGAGGCATCAACGACAGTTAACGTCACACAAGTGCCTAAGCGACGGGTGATGGTTTCGCCAGGCTGGCTGTGCCATCTGCGTGTGGCGGGAATGAGTCTGAAGGAGTGTCCGAGCACAAACCCTAAGAGGCATCAACGACAGTTAACGTCACACAAGTGCCTAAGCGACGGGTGATGGTTTCGCCAGGCTGGCTGTGCCATCTGCGTGTGGCGGGAATGAGTCTGAAGGAGTGAGTGCAGGTGTGGGCAGCGTGCACAGCCAGGTTCAGTGAGCCTGAGGGGGCGGTGAAGGATGGAGGAGAGACAGACAAGAGGAGAAAGCTGGGTCTGGGTGGGACGCCGCCCTCTCGGATGGAGAGAGAGCGCCACGGCCTGCCAGCCGAGTCTTTATTTTACAGCAGATTCCACGAGGCACAGTAAGGGCGTGGTTACAATTCTCGGGTTTTGAATCCACTCAATTACATGCACCTGGTCAAGCTTTGTTTACTTGCTGCACCTCCGCAGCCCACACCACTCAGCCACGTGGGCCCACAGGTGCGGACCATAAGGTCAAGCTCACAACTACAGCCTTTGGCCATCATTGTGCTGGGACTTGCCCGTGGCTTTGCCTCGAGAGGACCTGCCCTCTCGGAACCTGTCCGAACCTGTAGCTGCTCTCCACAGTCCTGTCCCTGTAGAATCCCCGGGACCTACGGGCCTCAGAAACTCGGAGCCAGAGGGTGCCCGCCGCCAGGGCCCATCCACCAGAGCAGCCCAGCACACTGGGCCCCGTGGGCACTGCCCAAGGGCTCTGGGCGAAGCCTGGGTTGACACTGCCCAACTGGACACACAAGTGACCCTCAAAGCCCTCTGACCTGTACCCGCCAAACCGCAGAACAGAAAGCTCCCTCGAGAGGCCGGCCACGCGGTCAGCACCCGCCTCCTGCAACAGAAAAGCGGGTGCATGAGGCCTCAGCAAATACCCCCCCCACCCCCCTCCCCCTCCCACCCCCAGTGTTTACAGGACGTGGCTCCGTAGCAGGGAGGCCTGCCCAGGGTGCCCCCCTGGCCCGGCCGGCGTGGCTTAGTCGACCTATGAGCCAGAAGGTCACGGTTCGATTCCCAGTCAGGGTACATGGCCAGGTTGCAGGCTTAATCCCCAGTATGGGGCGTGCAGGAGGCAGCCAATCGATGATGTTTCTCTCCCATCGATGTTTCTCTCTCTGTCCCTCTCCCGCCCTGTCACAATATGACAGGTTCACCAAAAAGTGCCCCATGACCCACGGAGGGGCCCTCAGGCCAGGGAAAGGACTGACTTTGCGTGTGGGTTTTTCCCAAACGGTTCCTTTGGGTTTTTTGGTTTGTTTGTTTTTTTAGTTATCCCTCATTTGGGAATTTTTTTCCATTGACTTTTAGAGAGAGGGAAAGAGAGGGGAACATCAGTTGGGTGCCTCCTGCACGAGCCCTGACCAGGGCTGGGGCGGGGAGGAGCTTGCAAGGAACTACAGGTGTGCGCACGCCACCAGGTCATCACAGGAGAAGGGAAGCAGGTGTGCGCACGCCACCAGGTCATCCTCACAGGAGAAGGGACACAGGTGGGCGTCTGCCACCGGGCACCCAGTGGGGGCGGGGACAGTGGCGGCAGCGTGGCGCTCCTGTGGTGACCTGGGTCAGCTCTCCCTGCAGGGCCGCTGGCTTCAGGGCCCTGTCCAGGGCCGGAGGTGACGGGGGTGCCGCTGGTCTTGGAGCGGGCGCCCTGGTCCCCTGGAGGCAGCAGGGCAGGGCTCCAGGACCAAGGGCCAGGCCCCGAGCAGCGCTCCCCACGGAACCCAGCTCACAGCGAGAAAGCAGTGGGTCCCTGGGGCTCAGAGGTCAGTCGCTCCGGGCCCTGACGACTGGAGATGGGGAGACGCCTTCGCACAGGGGCGGCCTGCGGTGCCAGGGCCGAGTTCTTGGACAGCAGTCACCCCACACTCCGTCCTCCACCCCACGGCGCACAGGACAAGGCCCCCAGGACCCAGGACCCTCCAAACGCCCTTGCGGGTGAGGGGGTACAGAGCAGGTGGCCTGGACCCGGACACTGGGGACCAGCCGGAGCTGTGTTGCCATGGAGGCGGGGAGAGAGACGCCACTGGGATGGTGCATGCGTGCAGTGAGGCGGGGTCACGTGCGCACTCAACTGCGGGCCACGCCTAATTGTCTCCATGGGATCCGCCTGGGTCCACCCGTGTCCACGGAGGCTCGTGCGCCCCTCCCCCGCCGCGTGGGAACCCTGCCCGTGTCCACACTGAGCTGGGCTGAGGCTGTTGCATATGCAACCCTCGGGGGACAGTTGGGAAACTGAGGCAGGGCAGTGGGGTGGGGGATGGCAGGCCCGCCTCGGCCAGGTCTCCACCCTCCCGTGGGGGTTGCTTGGGGAATGAGAGACCCTAAGACCCTGGGGGACCCCTGCTTCCCCAGCCTCCCTCGTCCTCTCTCCCCCAAATCCGGTGGGACACAAAGACCCGGAGCCCAACCGACGGACCCTCCTGGAGGCAGGGCCGGACCCCGTGTCAGTGATGTCCTCTCCGCACGCCTGAGGCCACGGACAAGGACACGATGACCTGTCGCTTTGGGGGCACTGCACACGAGCATTGGTTTGGGGCAGGAACCCCCCAGTTCTGACGTCCTCAGGGGAGACTGTGGCCCGGACTCCACTCGCCCAGGGAAGAGGGGAGAAGCAGAGCGGCCCGCGGCCCAGAATGGTGTCCCGGTGTCAGCGCCGCCCGCACCAAGGTCCCCGAACCTCAGAAGCCGTGTGTCCCGCCCGCCGCTCCCTTCCTTCCCGGCCCACATCCTGGTGCAGCTGGTCCTCATACGAGGCTTCTCCCTGGTGTTAGCCGTGTACACGCGTGTTGCTTAGGAGGAGGTCACGCAGGGCACCTGGTCTGTGCAGCAGCACGTTCACTGCGCGAAACTAGAAAAAGTCAAAGGTGCAGTGGAGCCCATAGAACAGCGGTTCTCAACCTCGGCTGCACATTAGAATCACCTGGGGATCTTTCTAAAATCCTGATTTCTGGGCCTCATCCTCCGGAAATTTTGTTTCTTTGTTATGGGGTGGGGCCACAACATGAGTAACAAACAGAATTTCCAGAGGATGGGGCCCAGAAATCGGGATTTTCAAAAGATCCCCAGGTGATTCTAATGTGCAGCTGAGGTGGAGAACCGCTGCCATAGAATGACCCAAACCCCAGCTCCGATGCGCCCTGTCTGCCCGCCCTCCCTGCGGGCCTGGTCCTTGGTGTGCAGCTGGGGTGCCTGGGCGGGGCTGGGGGCCCTCAGCAGGCGAGCACCAAGCAGGGACTCCCACAGGCGCGAGCCACCTCGCTGAGCTCCTGGGTGTGACGGGCCGGGTGACGCTGCCGTGCGCCCCAGGATCTGTTCTACAAGGGGGTGCCCACCACTGTCCGAGCCCCTCTGGTCCCAGCAGGACAAGACAAGGAGCACCAGGCTCCCACCTACCCGGCCCGCACCCAGGTCAGCAGTGTGGCCCGCTGCTTGGAGCCCCGGAGCGCGGGGGGTGGGGAGGGTGGGGCTGGACAGGACAAGAGGGTGCCGCACGGATCCCAGGGGGAGTCATGGGAGGCCCCGGGTCCCTCTGCAGAGTTCTAGAAACGTCGCTCTTTTGGAGAATTAGGTCCCTCCCGCCGGGACGCAGCTTCCTCCCGGCTGGTGGGTGGAAAGGAAAGGGGGCGTCCTTCTTCCCCCAACCCAGCCAGCCGTCTGTCCCCCGAAGTCAGGCCCCTCCGTCTCTGCACCGCAGTCCCCAGGGGAGGGCACCCCCTGCCCAGGGACGGGGCACGGGAGGGGAGGCCCAGACTTCGGCCCAGTGGCCGGCCCGGTGCCCCGGGTCCTCCCTCCACTCGGCCCCGCAGACGCGCTGTTCCCGAGTCCTGTCGGGTTCTCCTCGGTGCCTCTGTCCCGCAGCCAACGAGGGCGGCCCGGCTCAGGGCCATCGCGCGCGGGGCGGGGCGCGAGCGCCGCTGCAGATGCTCCGCACGGGCTGCCGATCCCGCATCCGCCACCGCGGGGGGCAGGTTCCCCCGGAGCCCCGTTTTGCAGGGTCGCACCCCCCAGGAGCCCTGCAGCCGCCACTATCCGAGCCGAGTCGCCGGCCGCAGGGTGGGTGTCCGGCCCGCCAGGGGGCGCTGCGGCGGCGGGAGCGGTGGGCGCGGCTTGGGCCTCGGGGC